GATCTTGGGTTTGAGGCTATCGCCCGAGGGATCCTACCTCCACCGAATTGAGGCTATCTTCGGTATTACGGATTGAGGCTATCTCCGTCATAGGCAATAAATGTTAAGTGGTTTGACTTTCGTGAAAGTCTAAATTGGTTTGACCGGTGGTCAAAGAGTTAATGAGGAATCCTTAACACCTAAATCGTTTTGAAAAGAAGGAAAATAAGTTGACTGTTGGTCAACCGTCTAAAGAACCGAATTTAAAGTTGAATTGATTTTTATTAAAAGGATAAGCATATGCACGATCTTAATTATTGAATTATTATGTTTATTCTTGTGCTACAATGGAGTGCCACTCAGCGTCAATGCTGAGCGGATAGCGTTGTTTTCCTTTTTGCTGTCCGTAGGTGATCACACAGATGAACCTAGAGTCGATCCCAGAGGGAATTGAGGAGGAGATGTACGATGGCGTGACTGTCTCTTTAATCTGTAGTTATGCTTTATTTAATTAACTTTAATGCTTATTACGTTTAAGGGGCAAGATCCCCAGTTGTTTGACTTTAAAAAGGCTTCTGCATTATTTTAAATTACTCCGATGGATTTTTGTATGTATTGATAGAATGTTTGTTTTAAATTGTTTTGAAAATGTTGTAAATTCGGATACCAGTCCAGTGGCACACCGGTCCGCTGTCTCACGGGTTTGGGTTACGCGGGTTGGGGTGTTACAGAAACTTCCTCTCCAAATAATTCACCCCAACTAGCTTTCACCACCATATCCAACATCAAACTCTATATCCCCGTACAACTCAGACTCTCAGAGCCAAATTATAAAAAGTGGAGTCGATTACTTTGTCTCTTGATCCTCCGCTTCAATCTCAAGGGCTACATCAACGGCACCACCGTCGCCTCCTCCGCATACGATGCTGAATGGTATCAATTTGATGCCCTAATTCAGGGATGGATCCTGTCCACAATCACGGATGAGGTCTCCGATCTTGTGCTTGCCAACAATCTCTCCGCTCATGCTTTATGGAAGGTGATCTACAATCTTTTTCACGACAACAAGCATGCACGGGCAATGCAACTGGAACATCATTTCCGTACAACTGTGAAAGGCAACCTCTCCATCAACGACTATTGTCATCTTCTCAAGAACCTCTCCGAATACCTCGACGACATGGACGCACCGATCACCGAACACGCCCTTGTACTTCAAGTTCTACAAGGCCTCCCCCACGACATCCGTAGTCAGGTCCAATTTTTGCAATATCAAAACCCGCTCCCCACGTTCTTGGAAGTGCAATCCGCCCTGCTCCTGGTTGAACAGTAGCAATCTGACAGCTTTTCCGGCGGTGGAATGCCGTCCACAACCCTCCTTAGTACCGGAGGTGGCAGCAGATATGGGGGCGGCCAACAATGGTAGGATCGGGGCAGCGGCTACGGGGGATCTGGGAGCGGTGACAGCTTTGGCGGCGGCTATGGCGGGCACGGCAGGAACTTGGGTAGTGGCGGCAGCGGTGGCAATCGCGGCAAGGGCCGCGGTCGATGTCATGGCAGCGGCGGACATCCACGGCAACCATCGTCGGGCCTCCCCTGGATCTTTCCCTCCCCCTCACCAGGTGTCCTTGGGCCACAGCCCAACCAACCTAACCCTCTAGCCCAGGCCCACTACCACACCAGCCCTCCTTCACCCATTCCCCTCTACCCACCCAACCAATCACACGGCCCATACTCCACAAGCCCATACTTTCCCTTACAACCCACCCCATTTAACCACTACCCAGCCC